TTCTTTCTTTGGCTCTAGGGGGGCAGGTTCTTTCTTTGGGCCTGTGGGACCAGATTCTTTTTCTGCGCCTGGGGAACCAGGTTCTTTCTTTGCATCTGGGGACCCAGGTTCTTTTTCAGGCTCTGGGGGGCCAGATTCTTTCTTTGCCTCTGGAGGGCCAGGGTCTTTCTTTGGGTCTGGGGGACCAGGGTCTTTCTCTGCAGCTGGGGGTCCTTCGCCTATTGCACCTTTGGGCGCCTCATCTGCAGAGATGAGACACCAGTTATGATCCATCCTCCTCCCCCTCCTTCCCCAGCCAGGCTGGCCAGAGACCAGCTCTGGGCCCAGGTCCCCACCCAGGCAACAATTTTCAAATGCTCGTCCCCCTGAGCCTCTGGGACCACTTGATGGGCTCTAGAGATAGGGTGCCAGGACCTCAGGGGCCTGTATGGGAGGCTTCTGGTCATCTGGTGGGTCTGGATGCCCCACGATCCCTTGCCCTATGTTTAGGTGCCATCCATGGGGGCTTTCCATTTTCCCAGTCTCTCCGGAGAGGGGTTCATATAGGCTCTTGACTCAGCCCAACCCTACCCAGCGATAAATCTGATTTCTGGGTACCCCATGCTCCATACAAAGAGGACTTGGGCATAGAACTCCCACAGAGGAACCGGCCCAACCCTGTATTCAAACACCCCTTCCCAAGCTCCTCCCTCCGTCTCCTGCCCCGGTTTGGCACCTGTTGATGGGCTCTGGATTCCCAGCTCGACTGCTCCGTTTTCTGTCGCCATAAGGTAGGGAGGCGTGTGCTTCTGCTCGCCTAACTCAAGTCTTTCTAGCTGCAGAAAGAAGCATGAGGTGTGTCAGGCTGTCGGATTCCTCCTCTTATCAGGCTGAGAGGAGGCCAGAGCCGGCTGAATGAAGGGAGAGGGGTACCTGGAGCAGAGAGGGGCAACCTGGTGGCCGGCTGTTTTGCAGCGGCTGCCCATTTGCTGTCCTGGGGCGGTTGTAACGGACTGGGCCGGTGGGCAGAGGCGGAGGCAGGGGCGCGGGCAGGGTAGGCGGGGACGGAGAGGATCTCTTACACCAGGGGCCATGCGGCTCGGACTGCCACCACCTGTCACTCTTGGCCCCTGTTCAGAGGACACGGCATTCTTCCCGTGAACCGACTAGGGGGAGAGTGGTGTTGGAACAAGCAGGAAGAGAAAAGGGAGGGGGCACCTGGGGCCTCAGGGGAGCAGCCTTTTCCCAAGCCGTGGCCTGAACACCATCAAGGAAGAGGCCTGGAAAAAGAGGGGCTTTCAGGCAAGGCTCAAGGGCAAGACTCTGCCCAGGCTGGGCCCAGGCTCTGCCCACCGGCATGCCAGATCTCCTGGGGTCCCCCAGAACCTGGTTGGAGCCATGCAGGCCCCAAAATTATCACCCTGACCCCAGCACCCAGCTCTGTGCCCATGAGCTCTGTCCCTGGCAATTAGACTTACTTGAAGCATCTGTGGGTAAGAAATTGTCTCAACATCCCCATGGGCCTGAAAGCCTTTTTTTTTTTAATGTCTTTTTCTTGGGCTCCTGGGGAGATGGAGGCTGCCCCAAGTGGCTGTGGGTGACAGTCAGTGCTCCAGGGCCCCTCCTCTGAGCTGCTCTAGGTCTCCCCAACAGTCTGCCTGGAAGGAGGGGGCTGATGGAGAGTCTTTTCCAAGGACCCTCCACCACCGTGGTGTCCCAGGTACCACTCCAGCCCGAGGTGTTCGGGCTGATTTGGGATGGGGCGATGAGGTGTGATCCAAAGGAACTGCTATCAACCCAGGGGCTGTCTGCCCTGCACCTTTCTCTGAGAACTAGCTGAGCTGAGTGCATTGGAAATAGCTCTAGAGTGGGCATCTGGGTTCAGGTCCTGACTGTGGCAAGCCATAGAGGGACTATGGTCCCTCTGTCAAGCGGAGGAGACAACCCCTGCCCTCAGATGGGAGAAAGGGGGAAATGACTCAAGAGCACAGCATGTCTAAGCAATGAGAAATTATGCCTATGCTATAAAGAAGATTGCGGAAACTGAATGAACTGATATGAAGCAACCTCCAAAGTGGAAATAAATAAATAGGAAAGAAAGAAAGAAAGAAAGAAAGAAAGAAAGAAAGAAAGAAAGAAAGAAAGAAAGAAAGAAAGAAAGAAAGAAAGAAAGAAAGAAGAGAAAGCAAGCCAGTCAGGTGCAGAATATCACGTGGAGTATGCTATCATTTGGGCAAAAGGGGGTAAAATATATGACATTTAACATAACAATATATGTAACAATAAATACATTTTCATTTCATACACATAAGAATTTCTTTGGCAGGGTAAGCAAGCAACAGGACCAGGGGTGGGAGGGAGACAAATGCCTACCCTTTAATGTTTTTATTTGGATCATGAACTATGTGAACTGGTTACTGTTCAAAATAATTGAGGTTTTTTTTTTGAATGAGCAAATGTTGGGGAGGTTGGTAGAGGGTAGCCAAAACCAGGGTTGAAGCTCTTTCCTCCATCTTGACAAGTTTTGCCCTGCCTCGTCCTCCCCGTCTCCCATCCTCCATTTCTCTCATTCAAAGTCCGAATGACAGCCAGCCTTGTCTAGGGAGCAAAAATAATTGCTAATAATAATGCCTATCTAGTACTTGCCACGTGTGCCAGGCCTCGTTCTAAGTTGCTCTTGTGTAGCTTCACTCAAATGATCTTCAGAACAACCCAATGAGGTCAGTAGGACTACAGATGGGGAAACCGAGGCAGAGAGGTTAAGTAACTTACCCAAAGCCATCTGGCCTGTAAGGGGCTGAACTGGGATCTGAACCCAGGCTCTGAAGGGAAGGGAGCTCCCATGTTTTGAGTGCCTGCTATTATTAGTTTTATCCATAGTCTCTTAAAACATCATCTTGATAATAACTCTGGGGGGGGGGAGCTTTCATCTTATTTTCGAGATAAAGACAGGGAGGATCAAAAAAGTGAGTAACTTGCCCAAAGTCTGAATAATTTGCCCAGAGTCACTCCACAAGGAAGGGAGTTGAGCCAGAAATGTCCTTCACAGCCCAAAGTCCTCTTTCTTCCGTAAATTTTCCCAGCTTATGCCGCGCCCCCTTTCCCTGATGGGGTCGCATAGCATTCTGACGGTTGAAATGCTTCCCGTGCATATGCCTATTATTGAGAGCCCCTGGCTCTCTGTTTGGTCATCCCCACACCATGTTCTTGTTTAACTTGAAATGTTGGACTCCACCTTCCTCTGGCCTTGTTCAACTCCAGGTTGATCCCACTGTTGGCACGTCTGGGAGCCCCCTCGAGGACAGGGGCTTGTATGATGCTCATGTGTGTCCCAGCACAAAGTGTACTTGCCAATCAGTGTTTAATAAATGACTAGCAAGGGTTTATGTGATGGCCCTTGCTGACATCCCCTTGTTATTATTAGTGTGGTTGTCAATACCAGTCATTTATTGAGTGAGTGCCCACTAAGGGCCAGGCCTGACTCTGCCAAAGGCTTCACCCCAGCTTACTGGATCCTCACAAGGGACTTGAGGGGCCAAATGACTCAAGGGGACCATTTTAACAGTGCAGAGACTGATGCTGAGAGAAGGTAAGAGGCTTGTCTCTAAAGTCACACAGCTCTTGAGTAGCTTCAGATTACTCAGATTCAAAGCCAGAGCCATCTCCCAATGAGACCAAAATCCAGCCTGGCACGACACAGAGGGCTTGATTTGCTACACTTGTCACTGTTGTGATTCCCAAATGCTAACTAGCATTTCTTGAACTCATGTAAGCAGGCCAGACCCTCGGTGAGCAACTTCATAAGTGTCTTCCATTCAGTTCTTTCACAACCTGAGTAGTGGTTAGGAGCTGTCAGTGAAGCTGAGACTATTAACTAAGGTTTGGGCAAATGCCGTCACTTGTTTCCTCATCTGTAGGATGAGCGCCTCCCTCAACCGGGGAGCATTTGAAACAGTTCATGGGCACATAGTAAGTGCTTTATGTGTCAGCTACTGCAACCCCATTTCACAGATGTGACAGGAAAACTGAGTCACAGCGCAAACTCACAGAGTTGGGGTTGAACCCTCTGACCCAAGGTTCAGCTCATCACCACTCTGGCCTGTGGCCTCTCCCTCAGGATGGCTGGGAGCATTGAGTGAGCCCGTGTATCAACATGCTTGGCATAGTACCCGTGGCACTGTGGGGTCTCCATAACGTTGCGGACACGCCAGGTAGAGGGCTCAGCCGTACCTGCAGGCTCCTCCACAGCCCCTGCTGCTGGGATGAGAGGCTGGCCTGGGTCTGGGTCCGCGGGATTGCTTGGCGCTTGCTCACCGCCCGGGCTGAGCTCAGCTCAGCCAGCTGCTCCTGGGAGTCCCTGAGCTTCTTTTTAGTGCTCCCTTGGAGGCACATGGGTGGGGCATGGGGAAACCTCCTCCACCCAGCTGGGGGCTGCCAGAGCCCCTGCTCACCCTGAGAAAGGGGCTTTCCCGCCCTGCACCAGCTGTGCAGCCACGTTCTTTGCCTCTACAGGGGCAGGATAGGAAGTGGGGCAATGCCAGGACCAATTAAACCCGCCAGGAGAATTAAGGTCAGCAGGATGCAATTATGCCTGTTGGATTTAACAAGGCCAGAGGGAAGGTATCTCCAGCCAGAGTTCACGGCTCCTTAGGCCTCTTGCCCTGGATGGCTGACTCCAGAAGCCTGGGTTCTCAGGCTCACCCATTCCTGGGAGAATTTCTTGGGAGTGGAGGGGTTAACTCCAGCCGGGCACTGCTTCCCTGGCTCCTAGGAGGAAACTGATCCAGCCAAGAGGCTTTTAAAAGGACTTGCTCAGAGGAGACATTTCCCAGCCTGACTCTCTCCCTGCTTGGCTGTGATGGAAAATCTAGGGAGTTGAGCAATGACCTTTCTGACTCCAAAGAGAGCAGCCAAACCCCCGCACAGCTCTCCTCTGGTCCTGGTATGGAAGCCACTCAGGCTGTTTTCTCCTGCCCTCTTATACCTGGGGCCCCTAAGCCCGAGCTTTAGCAGCACCTCCCAGGCCCCTGGGGAAGCCTTACAGCAGCCCCTCGCACTTTCCTTCCAAGGCTGGTAGGCGGAGATCTATGGACACCCTGTGTGGCCAATTGGACATAGATTTCTCTGGACATGACACAATGTTCCATCCTAGAACTGTGGACTTTTATTGCTAAGATTATTTACTGAGTGCTCTGCTCTCTGGCAAGGACTAAACTGGTCACTTTGGGGACAGAGGGATGGAGTTGGGGGGAAAGCTATAGAATCACCACACAGTGCATGTTAGGCGAAAAAAACATTATAAAATCATTCATGAAGTGGTATCCTTTCTTTGTTAAAAATATTTAGAGAAAATGTCTGGAGGGATAGAAATACACATTAACAGGTGTGGAGTACAGATGGTTTTTAATTCTTAGTCTGGATTTTGTTAAATTTTTTTTAAATGACCATTGATAACTCTGAGCAGATTAATAAATAATTCAGAACATATCAATATAGACACAGATGTCTACACTTCAAGACAAAATGGTCAGAGCTACACATGGGATCTAAAACACCATGGGATTTCAGAGGAGGAGGCTTGGGGACTCTGATCAAGGATGACTTCTCAGCAGAAGGCATGGCTAGCTCAGGCTTTCTCAGTGCCCAGGCCCAAGTGTGCTTAACATGAAGCCTCCGTGGAAGGGGGCCCCAGGAATCTGTCACCAGCATTTCAGGTGGTTTGAGGCAAACCTGCTAAGTGTCCCGCTGGTGCAGCTGGTGGTGATTCCAGGACACACATCTGTCTAGAGCCCTCTGGGCCGTGCTCCTCAACCCTGATGCACAGGGGAAACGCTTGGAAAGCTTTCCCAACTCCCAAAGCCTGAGCCCCTCCTGAGCTCACACCAATTAAGTCAGAACATTTGAAGGTGGGGCCCCAGCTGTGGGTGTTTTTTAAATCTCCCCAGAAGATTCTGATGTGCAGTCAGGGTTGACAGCCACTGCTCTGAGGACCTCCCAGGGTTGGGACGTCACCTTGTTTCCCTGGAATGCCCCCAAGTTAGGGTAAAGCAGTGCATATGGTGGGGACTCCATCCTGACTTGTTCTATGGACTGTGTGCGCGGTATCTGGGGCTCTGGAGGATGCAGATGCCAGCTCAGAACACACAGGAACCACATCTGTCAGCTCTGCATCCCAAGGACCCTGTACAAAAAGCGCTGCTGTTAACGGTAATAGACACTTATATTTATTGTGTCTTTTACCATGCGCTAGACACAGATAATTAACTCCTTTAGTCTTCATAGCAACCTTACAAGGTAGATTACCTATTACCCCTCCCATCTCTAAGGGGAAACTGAGGCACAGAGGAGTAACTTCCCCAAGGTTTCAGAGGTTATTCCAGCGGGGCCGGAATGTAAACCCAAGCCATCTGGCTCGGAGCCATCACATGTACTACTCCATTCCACAAAGGCCCGCCGAAAAATAAATTCGTGAGTGAAGATGACTACGTCATCAGTTTGGGAGCCCCAGGGTCTGACGTTCAGCAGGTGCTCTGTAAATGGTGACAAATAAGTGCCCCTACTTTGGTAGGGCCCTGGACCCATGGGCACCCAGGACCAGTCCTTCCTTCTCTCTTCCTTCCTCTCCCCCCATCTCGGCCCAGCTTCTCAGCAGCATAAACAGCAAAGCCAAAAATAGCCATCTAATGATGTCAGAGGAACAAGGTCATCTGAAAATTGCCCATGGCCATTGGACACCTCCCTATAGGATCAAGTAGCAGGAGGGTACCCCAGCCTGGCGCAGCTGTTCCAAGAACAGGAAATGTCCCCGGAGCAGACTTGGAAGCACCACCTCAGGAAGGCAGGCCCCATGGGGGTGGGGGACAAACACAAACACATAGAAGAGTAGAAGCAAGACCTAAGGGCAGAGTAGAGGCCCGGGAGTTGAGAGCCATTCAACTTTATCTGCACCAGAAGTCCCTCCTGGCACATGATCCCAGGAAATGGCTCGAAAAGCGGGGATCCCGTGTTCTGTCCTGTTGCACAGGCCACCTTCTCCGCCCACCATGATGCTATTTAGGTCCGTTGCTAAACTGAGTTACCCTAAGAACCAGGGGCTGCCTGGCAAGCTCTGAGTGGCTGCTGAGAGAAGAGGGCCCTGTGTGGGTTGCTGAGGGGCACCCTAATCAAGGCTGAGGAGTGGGCCGGGTGAAACACCTCCTGGCTGCAGGCGCTTGGCACTTTGACCACCTTGGCTATCGCTCGGGCCTGCTGAGGCTTGTGACTTAATTGACTGGCAGCAACCACATCCCTGACAGGAACCCAAGCATCCGGCACGGTCTGAGGAGATGCCTGCTGTGTGAAATTGAGGAGAGGACCTGCCTCCCAGCCTCTGGGAAGCTTAGCTGGAGGTTCCCACAGCAAGGTTAAGAGTTCAGCGCAGGCCCCAGCTTCACAAGATGCTTGCTCCCAGTCCACATTGCTGGCCCTGGAGGGGGACAGAAACAATCTCTTCTTCACCCAGGGGTCTTTGATCAAGTCACTCGATTCTAAACAGCAAGAACACAAACGCCCACGTGGCCTCCTCCCTAAGTCTCCCTGTTCCTTTCGCTGGTTGGTCCCTGGCAGCTGCTGGCCCTGTCCTGTTAGGTTGATAGTTTTGGGTAAACAGCAGTGGCTTCTGGCAAACCCTGGGGACAGAGAATGCCCATCCCCTGCAGCTGGCTCTATTCAAGGGATGCAACTGATGTGGTGGAAAGGGCACTTGAGGACAGAGACACCTGGATGCAAATTCTGACTCCGCCACTTACTAGCATTGTGACTTGCGCAGAAAGTAACTTAAACTCTTGAGCCTCAGTTTCCTCATCTGTCACATGACTTGTTGGAAGGACATAGGGAAAAGCATTTTTCCCTCTGTCTTCATTCTGGTCATAAAGTCTTGGTTAAATACCTACTTAACACAGCAGCTCCCCTGTATAACATGAATAGACACAAAAGGACTCCCCAGAAGTTCTGGAGGGAGGGGTGTTCTCCCCCTCCAGACTGGCTCTTGTTTGGCCTGGGCATTGAGGGTCACAGGAGAGAACGGCTGCTGGCTCCCTGGCCCATAGAGACCTTTGAGTTGGGAGGCCTGCAGGTCCCTCCCCGGCACAGTGGACCTCACACTTGGGCGTGCATCACAGTCCCCTGAAGGAGGGCTTTTTAAAACACACATTGCTGGGCTGGCCGAGTGGCTCAGTTGGTTAAGAGCGCGAGCTCTGAGCAACAGGGATGCCGGTTCAATTCCCACATGAGCCTGTGAGCTGTGCCTGAGCTGAGCTGCTGCTGAGTTGTCAAAAGGTGGCAGGATGGCTCAGCTGGTGAGAGCAAGCCTAACAACGAGGCTTCCGGTTTGACTCCTGCATGGGATGGTGAGCTACGCCTGCCGGCAACTAAGATTGAACATGGCACCTTAAGCTGAGCAGCTGGAAGCTGCCATCGGACGGCAGGATGGTGACTGGACTTGGAACTGAGCTAACTGTGCCCTCCACAACTAAGACTGAAGAACAACTTGGCTGCTCCCCTTCCCCAATTCCCCAATAAAATCTTTAAAAAACAACACACACACACACACATTGCTGGGCCCCACATCCAGAGTGTCTGACTCAGGGGGTCTGGAGCGGGGACAGCAAATTTGCATTTCTAGTTTCAGTTATGCTGATCTGCTGGTCCACAGACCACATTCAGAGGACCCCCATCCTAGAGAAAAGTCCCCCAGCCCAAGTCGCGGACCTTCCAACCTCCCATTTTCATGAGGCCTCTGGGTAGGTAGGATGGCTTGGGTACTTGCGTGAGGAAGACACACTCATACTCCACTGTCAGTACAAATAATGTTTCAAGGAGAGGGAGATACACAAAAAGTCAAGCTGTTTAATGAAAGAGGGCAGGTACTGGCAGCCCCTCCCAACTTCTGACTGCTTGCTCTAGGCTGCTTCCTGTATTCATTTTCTATTCTGCAGTCACAGATCACCAAGAGAGGGAAAAGTTAATGAGCAAAGAGGACTCAGTGAGCCCACGGTGTGGACAATCTCCAGCCAGATTGCTACAGCTCAAATCTCTTGCCTTTCTTGCTTGCACAAATGCCCACCTGGCCTCCTCCCTGAGAAGTCTCCCTCCTCCTTTCGCTGTCAACTAGCAGCTGCTGGCCCTGTCCTGTTAAGTCGTTAGCTCTGAGTAAACAGCAGGGGCTTCTGACAACCCCTGGTGACACATTCCCATTGACAATTAATACTGAATATATGACTGAGTCACACTGGCCAGCAGAGATGAGTAAACACCCAATGTGACAGTCATCAGTGCTGCCCAAGAAGGTATTTGGGTCATGCTGGGAGCAAATCCTCACCCACAGAGCTGGAAGAAAGGTCTTTTCTAGAGACATCATTCTAACTTCTAAGATGAGGAAATTGAGACCCAGTGAATTCAAGTGACAGGTTCAAGGACAGAGCCAGAAGCCACTTACCCAATTTCCAACCTACGACTCATTCCACTAAATAATTTTGTTTCTCCTAAACCCTGTGACATTTATCTCCAAACAATCCAAGTCTCTTTGACCACGAACACTGTAAAAACGGACCTGTGGTCGAGACAGAAGAGCAGCGAGTGCACCTGTTTGACTGTGATGTCCTTAACGTGCCTCCAACAATAGAAGAACCACCTCCAGATAATTTCACACCTTGGGAACACCAAGGATGGGAGGGACTTCGTGCAGTCGTCTGTAAGAATTCACTGAACATTCTGTGCAGTCTTTAACCAGGTCCAAGGTCAAGAGAAATATCAGAAAATATGTGTGTGTGTCAGAGGACATTATTCAGGGATTAGTCCCCTGGAGTGATCTGGGCTAGATTTCCGCTTCCAGAACAACCCTTGGAAAGGTCTCAACAAGATAGCACACTGGTCTCCAACATACTTCACTGAAGTTCAAGTGAAAATCCAGGGGCAGAAGAGCTGGCTCGAGGTGCCCTCTCGCAGTGATTGAGCAGCTGGCTTTAGAAAAATATAAATGCAGAAGTAGGGCTGGTTGGTGAGAATAAATTGCCTAGAAAAAAATTCTGAAACTATTCAGCTGAAAAGAGCCTTCTTCTTCTTTCTAATTCAATCTGCTCATTTGACAGATGAGGAAACTGAGTTCCAAAAAAGGGGAGTGACTTGTTAAAGGTCACCCAGGGTGTCAGTGACAGAAGTGAGATTATATTTCCTGTTCCTCCCTACCCTTCCCCAAAGACACATCACAGCCCCAACGAGAGTCCCGACCAAGGGTGTTCTTTCAAATCTGATCTAAATGTTTAGAGACTACAATTCACTATGTGAATGTGTCTGAAGATGTAGAGTTCCAAGACTTTAAAACAACATAACTACAATTCTCTCCAGAAAGACTTTGCTAAATGCCAATAAACTTTTTCGCTGAGCATGAGTGCCAGTGCCACTGACATCACATCAGCCAATAGGAGCTTTCCATTTTGCAAATGTGTATGCCAGAATATTAATTATGCTTTTGGGAGGGGCTTACATTTTCTTTAAACATTTTAATTACAAAGATTGACTAAGTGGTTTGAAACAGCCATTTAAAGTTGAGACAGTCACGATACATTAGAAGGAAGTAAATATAGGCAAATTTGTCCAATAAATAGAGTCTAGAAAAATCCTTTGCAAAACAAGCATTTTCAACAGAGAAGCAAACCGGAACAGTGGAACAGTATGCTGCTGTTAAAATTGGTATTAACAAAGAATGCAGTGATTTAAGAAAAATATTTGAGTTACAACTATGCTAAGCGAAAAAAGCAGTATATACCAAAAAACCCCACAATGTAAAAACATAAAAGTTTTATACACACACAAAAATAGAGATTATACAAAGAAACACCAGTGTTTAAGGTGGGTAATGGGACCATAGATTTTTTTTTCTTCCTCCTATTATTACCAGGTATATTCTGGACTGTATGTAATTACCAATAAACCCTAATTTTTAAAACTAAAAACAACAGTGTTGTGAGATTTTTGCATATAGAAAACTTAAAAGTGACTTTCTATTCACTTAGTGGGTTTTCTAAGTGACAGAGGTTGTGTGCATGAGTGCCCATGAGTGAAAGTCTGTCAGTGTCGGGCTAGAGGGTTCCATTTCTCCTTATTACCACCAAGCAAGCCTCAACAATGCTGCCCAAACTGGTTTTCATATTATTATTTACAACCACTGACTCTGCAGTATCTTGACGAGCTGCAAACGGCGGCTCCCACCCTTGCTCTTGAAAGACCTGCGAGAATACCGCTGGTGCCAAAGCCAGCTGGGCAACAGCGCTTGGCTACCGTTCTCGGCCCATTCACACACCTGCCTGTGAGGTCCTGGGATACCAGCCCCATAACTACATGGGTCTCTGCAGATCGGACGAGCCAGGATTTTCTTTCCTAATAAAAGGTGAAGGAAAGGGGAAAGGGCAAATTGATATCTTCAGGTTTAGGCTTAGTCTGGTGAAATAGTTCCTAAATAAAACCTAGTCTTTTCCTAAGCCTTTCACCATCCCTCCCCCTCCAACTATGGTTTCTACGAGTGAAATGACAGCATTTGTCAAGCCCTTTCAGGAAGCTGATACCTTCAGTACATAAAAGCCATGCTTTGGTCTGAGTCCAGCCTCTTATTCTCTTGCAAGAGAATAGCAAATACCATCAGACATTTTTGATGTTGGTAGCCTTCACTACAGCACTAGAAGAGTGGGTAGGCAAGCAGACAAAGGTAACGGGGAAAAAGTACGTGTTTGTCCACAGGCTTCTTTTTTGTAGCAACTCCACTGGCTTCAGCTGGATAACAAATTGTCCTGGCATTCTTGGCGTCGGAGCAAACATGTCATCTCCCTGGTGACGCCTTCGTCACTGCTCAAAGTACCACACACTTTAACCTCCCTGCTCTTTCCATAGGCCTGGGTCTGTCCCGTATCCAGGAAACTTTATATGTTGTCTAAACTGAGCATCCCGGCAGGCTGCAAGGCAGACGGCAGCTCAGGGTTCAGAATGCTGACGGAGTCCTACCTGGATCCGCACCACCACGCTGTAACTCGGCCTGCCTGCGCAGAAACAGGAGCCCAGCCACGTGGCTAATGGACAGCTTTTTTAACTGCTACCCTCAGCAATGAGGAACTTCCCCAGCAGACAAGATTCAGAAGGGAACCAAAAGAAAGCAACGTCAAGATTTCTCCAAGGTGCTACACAGGTTTAACCAGATACTCAAGCCAAAAAACCCCCAAAGGCTCAGCTAAGCCAGGAGCTAAAAGACCAGGTGTTGCCGACCTGCCCTCGAGTCCTTGGGACCTCAGGTCGCTGGACTAGGACATCATATAGAGGAACTAGACCCCCATTACAGGTCTGCCTCTGTCACTAGATTCCAATAAGAGGCTTCATACTTCAGTCAGGAGGAAGTGCCCGGACATGCCCAAAACAGCACCTGAACCACATCACTCAATGCAGAACATAGGAAAAGATCAAGGAACAGAGTGTAGAGTATGATACCATTTGTGCAAAAATAAAAGGGAGAGGTAGGAATACGTATATGCAGAAGCCATCTTGGCAAGGGACCACACTGGCAGCACGATCTCTGTGGAGGGGAACTGAGTAGCGAGGGGAAGAGATAGAAGGCTTTATGTTACCTGGGTAGCTTCTGAATTTTGAACCATGTGAATGTATAACCTTTCAAAGGACAAATTAAAATGAAAAGCAAATGCAGAATGCTATAATCTTATCGTTATAAAAAAGAAAAATGATCTATAAATCTGTGTGTGTACATAAAAAATATGCTAGAAGAATACACGACTGTTAATGATGGGTGAATCCTGGGGAAGGGGAATAGGGGAAGTAAGATGTTCATGTTTTATTCTATGTAGTCTGTATTGTTTTGTTTTCAAAAGGCAGTAATACTTTCGTCATTTTTACTCGAAAGAAAAGAAAAGAAAGAAAGAAAGAAAGAAAGAAAGAAAGAAAGAAAGAAAGAAAGAAAGAAAGAAAGAAAGAAAGAAAGAAAGAAAGGAAAACATCTTTGAGAACTGCAACCTCACCTCCAAGGAGAATCTCTAAACTCCCTCAGCACTTGTTCGGTCTCAAGTTACTCAATCACATCCATCTTGTGTTACAATTACTTGTGTACAGCTCTCTGCTAAACGCTGGAACAACTGAAGCTACAGCCTGTCTACCACTCAAGCTCCACTTTCCAGAGACAAAACCCCGTGGAAAAGAACCCGTGAGAAATAAAACAGCAGTCAAGATGGCAACAAAGCAATTGCACAAGAACTAAACCATCAACCGAAGTTAAGAGTGAACAGTAATCTTATATTAATTAACCCAAGACTATTAGCAGTGGGAAACCATGGCCAAGTCAAAACAACACTGAAAACAAAACAGTCCTTCCAGAAACTGTGGGAATTCCAACAGCTTGCATGTGCGCAAGTGCTAGGAGCTTTGCAAAACTGTCAAGCAAAGTGTGACAGCCAGATCTCAGTAGAATTCAGTGAATTCCTATCAGAGGACATGCTTTGTTTAGGAAAATTTCAGAGTGACCCAAGTGCTGAAAGAGAGGCTCCCTCTTGGACATGGTCTGAAGGGATCAAGAACCTGAATTTCTCTGTAAAATTAATGGGGGGAGTTTGAGTGCCGGGGGGGGGAGGGGAAAGGGTGGCTGTGCTAGAAAAACGAAGGTCATGTGAGGAGGTCCAGAGAGAGCTCAACATTAGACCGGAGAAAGAGAGAGCCACTGGGAAACAGAAATTCTGGGAAGCAAGAGGCAATGATGTCTGCACCTCAATTTTAAGCTATTGGCTCTAAAGTAATGAAGTCCCTCTTTGTTGTCTCAAAAAGACCATCACACATCACCACCCTGATGTGGGTGTGTCTGGAGGAGGTAATCCAGAAGGAAGCAAATGGGATGGAAGGATCCCATAGGTCCACAATAGTCAATAATGCTCTTTCCAAAAGCCTCAACTGGAGGGCTGGATTTATTCTCCTACATGAAACAACCAAAACAAAAAAATGGACAATGAAGAAAACATACCAGATGGAAATATATGAATGACAGTGAACTATCAGAAGAGAACCACTGGTACAAAGTAGGGAGAAAAGTTACACAAGACAGACAAAGAGGGGAACCAAGAGATTAACAGAAGTGGAAAAACCAAAGCAAGAGGTGACCAGAAAAAAAAATGTGCACCCTGAGAATCCTCATGAGATATGAGGACTGGGGTAGAATTGGATTTCTCAGAGTACAAGGGATGGAGAACGCTGCATCTGTTTGGGGCTGATACCTGGGAGCCCTCCTTAACGTCCCTTTCTCTCACTCTCCACGTCCAACCTGTTAGCAAGTCTTGTCAGTTACAACTTCACAATACATTCAGAATCCAACCATTTCTTACCACCTCCACTGCTACCACCATAGCTCAAGCCACCATGAGCTGTCACCTGGACAACTGCAAGAACCTTCTCACCTTCCCGTTTCCAATCTCACATGCCCCCCCTCTCCCCACCGGTCTATTCTCCACACAGCTGTCAGTCAAGGAAACATTTATCACCTGACAAGAGAGGGCAGTCACTTGTTATTATTGTCTTATTGTATGTCTCCCCTCCTAAAAAGTAAGCTCCATGAAGATAAGGTCTTCTATTTTTGTTCACTACTATCTATATTCCTAGAGGCCAGAGCAGCGCCAAGTTATATATAGTTAGCACCAAATTAATAGTTGTTAAATAAACTACATAAGTAGTTAAGGAACTGTATACCACATACATCCAGGAAATGAATAAAGGAAAGGAACCGTATTTTGCATCAGTTTGTGGGACTTGAGGAGGCCCAGGGATCTGCAAATCACTTCTTGCTGAATCTGCAATGGCTTGTACATAATGCTCACTGAATGAATAAACGAAAGGAATATAGAATGGGTTTAATATCATACTCGGTACCTGGGACTGGCCTGGGCAGAACATATGGATGCTTTTATATCTCCTGGCACAGGAGTAGCTGACTGGTGCAGAGTAGGGTTCATAAATAATGTCAAGTCTAAAAGAAAACACACTATTTAACAGGGACCTAGTGAATTCTGTGCCAGCTACGAGAAATACAGAGATGAGTAAGATTTTTGTCTTCAAGCACTAAGATAATTTTAAGTACCTATGTCCCTACTAGTTTGTGAACGAGTACAAATAACTCAGCAGTGTAACTGCTGTACTAGAGATACACACAAGGAACACATGGGAGGCACTAAAAAGGAAGGAATCGTCATCACCTGAGGAGGTCAGGTGGTCAAGGAAGGATTTATAAAGATTTTACTTGAGCTGAGTCTTATAAGAAAGAGTTCACCAGATGAAAAAAAGCACATTTAGGGAAGAAGGCACAGTCTGTGTAAAGGCGTAACACACACGGTTGTCTTCCCGAGTGGCTCCTGGGAGGGAGTCAACAAACATGGAAGGATATGCTGACATAAGACAGAAAACAGTTACAAAGCACTTTCCTTTAGGGAAAGCCTGTGCTTTTAAACGTTCCTGGACCTTCCTCTCAAAATACCCATTTCCCCAATAAGATAGGACCTCCAAAGGGGCTTGACAAACTTAAAATATCACATTACAAAATCAGGGAGGGGAAGACAAACATTTACTCCAGCCCAGGTTACTGGAGGGCTTGAAAGGTGTGCTGCACAGTGTTCCCTGTTACCGGCACTGGTGTCTTAGCAGCAGCTCTGCCCAAAGCTTGCAGATGGCAGCTGGGAGGCTCCCCAGCGCTCCACGCAGGCCTCTCCTGGCTGTGCAGTTAATGAGGCTCTCCCCCTCAGCAAAGGGCTCCTCAACTGTAAATGCATTTTGTGCAGAGAAGAGGAAAGAATCTGATACCCTGATTGTTCCTCATTGAAGCCATGACTTAAATCCTATCTCAGTATTTTACTATCTTTATTTTCTGATTAAAATAGGAAAAAAAAAAAAAAAGGGAGTGAGGGAAAGGGCAATAGAAATTACACTGCTGATACAGAGGCTTTCAATTCTAGTCAGAGTTAAGACCCATATTAAAGGGCAACTGATGGTTCAAAGGAAGTAACTACATGGAGTCTGAGCGAGACATATGTGAGTTGAGTCTCATTATTATTAGCCTCAGTAAAGTAGGAAAACAATTCTCAACAAAATTAGAGTCCACATTTGTCAGGTACGGTTTGCTGGGCACTGGTGAGGAAAAAGTCTGGAGAAACGGGTTCTCTCCATGCCCTGGTGAAAAGAAAGAAGGCTCCTGGTCTGATGGGAAGAGCAGCTCCTGTTCCCAGGTGGTGTCTGCGCTCACAGCCGAGTTTAGCAGTGGAATCGAGTGGAGAACTTGGGAGACACAGGCACAGTCAGAGGCTGGTCACTTGACTTCACCTCCACAGCCTGGTACTTGCGTATTGGGTTTGCCTTGTGCACCTGCAAAGCAAAGAAAATCAAGTTACCACTGATAAGGATGTTAGCAAACTATGCTTATAGTTTTTTCCTTTCCTTGAGAAAATGTTTGTATAGTTTTACAGATCCCAGTCACTAATTCAAAGAGGGGGTAGGGTGGGGGGGGAAGGTAACGTAGTATAATGGAAAAGCACATGAGCTTTGGAGCCCAAGTAGGGTTCTATTCAGGTCTTGCAGGGTCCCTCAGCTTACACTAAAGATGTCAAACCTATCCCCAGTTTGATTGTTTATTACTAGGGTGTAATGGGGCTGAACTCAATTGCAGCAGAGAAGAGATACATGTTAAGAATTCGCTAGAGTACAATCTTAAGTTTACTGAGTCTTAATTCTCACCAAAAGCATGGACAAAAAAACAATAACTAGGGAGGGCTGCAGAGAGAAGACATGGTCCCATCCATCCTTCTAGGCAGTCTACAATCAATCCTGAATGAAGTGAGATTAGCAGAGCACTAACTAGCATTGACTGAACTGTGCTGGGGGAGAATGGCGGGAAGGAAAAGCTCTATGATGCAAGCAGGGACAAACACCTGAGGATGGAAAACATACCGGTTTTGTGAGTGTATGTGGAGTGGGGATTGTATTGTTTTTTTCATCCAATCAGAAAACGGTAGCTTGAATTTTGCCGAGAAGCTAGTCCCTTCTAATATTGGGTTGTTGGAAGAGTCATGACGTATTTTTTTCTATGTTTTTCGTTGCAAAAATGCGTCATGACTTTTCCGACAACCCAATAATTTGTCCTTAGAGCCTTCCTGCAGCCACGTCACCTCCGCCAACCACTGTATCTGCTGCTGCTTAGCACTTTTAGACAAAAATCTCAGCAACTTATGTGTTTCTATATTCATCCCTTTATTAATCATATGAAGTTCCATCTCAAACTGTCTTCTTCCTTATTACTAGTTAATGTGGTTTGCTGCCCTTCTAATCAAAGGGGCCTTAATGTGAATTAAGTTTTCTTTTTGGATAACTAATATCTAAATCATTATGCTAGTGTCAGCATGGAGGGTCATGCGGACTGATAGGCACTATAACGCCAAAGAATTTGAGTCAAGTATTAAGAGGAAAAGGAAAACACAGTTACTGCCCAATTCCCATGTTCTTCCCTAAGTATGTATTGTCTAATTGTAAAACACCTTAGTTTTCTTAAGCCTTAAGGAAATAATAAAAATAAGTTAGGTAATGTGCCATTGTGTACAGTTATGCCTCATGATTTCCTCCTTATGAAGACCCTTGGAAGAAATTCTGTCTGATTTCAATACTAAGGATAAATGTATTTTTTTAACACCTAGCTTGTTTATATCTCATGAACACTGTGAGTTCTGTAACTGACAGGTTGCTTTCTAAAAAGGGCCAAAGTTATGGCTCAGACTTAGCAGATATGTGGATCACATCTTTAGCCTCGTCTGCATCTCCACGTGGTCACCACCCGTGGTTTGTGTGACTTCCTGCTTGTACTCGTCTTTGCCATACAGGCCCCCACAGGTCCTTCTGGGACAAGGCGAGGTCCAGATGAAACAACGCAGCCAGACGTGGGTCAGCCGGTGCCCCCGCTGCCCAGTTACCAGCTCCTTCCGTAGCCTGGCCAGCTCCTTCTGCTGCTGCTCCTCCTCCTGCTGCCTGGCCTCCTCCAGCTGCTGGGCTCTCTGGGCTTCTGCCTCGGCCATTTTCTTCTCCAGCTCTTGCCGCTCCTTGGCTCGCCTCTCAGTGGCCAGCTCGAAAGGTTCCTGAACTAGAGAACCAGAAAGGCCCTCTGAGTACAGAGAGAGAGAGAATATTGGTGCACAAGCAGGACTTGCATAAACCTAGCCCCCACAGATGCAGAGAGGGGCACAGACATGCATGGCAACAGAAGGGCTGAGCTCTAAGGAAGCTTTATTGAAAGAAAGGTAGAGTAAACCACAAAGTCTTAGAATTTTGAGGGTAGAAAGGTCCCTGGAAATCATCTAATTAGGAGAAAAGCAGGACCCACACAGGTGAAGTAGCTTGCTCAAAACCACACAGCGGTATTGAGACAGATATAAGAGAAGAATCCCAATTTTCTGACATCCTGCCCCATGCTTAAGGAATCAAATGTTTTCTATCGATGGCTTGCTTCAGGGTGAACTCCAGAAAGAGGTCCTGGCTTTCCCTCCCTCACTTACTTGCTCCTCTTTGGGTGGGCAGAGCCTATAACTGTTATTGAAATGCCAGCTGCCTCTGCCTAGGGTCTTGCTCTAGGAATCTGGTCCCAACACATTCTGCAAACCAACATAGCTGCTGGGTTCAAGAAAGGCAAAAGACTAGATCCTCTAAAGGCAAATGCTTCTGTGTTATACTGACACAACTGAGTTCCAGGCATCCCCCCTGGGAAGTCTATGACGATTCTGCCCCAATCCCCTAAGAGTATATGTAATACTACCAGCAACGGATTTTTTCTCTTTCTTGGGAACAAAGGGCTCCTGGGAGATGACGGTGTTCGGACGAGCCTTGAAGCAAGTTGCTTCTTTCTGCTGTTTCAGTTCTTCCTCCAGCTATTTGAAAGAAAGTCCGTCAGACAACTTTCCATGACTACCACCTCCGTGGATCAAGCTCTAATGTTTCTAACTGCTTCACCAAAAAAGACAGCTGATGATTTCATCTAAGCCCCACTTACAACCCGCTTTACAATGGGTACACCAGATTGATAACATCTATTAATAAACCCACTGAGAACTAGAAAGTACCTTTAAGATACAGTTGACCCTTGAAAAGTGCAAGGGTTAGAGGCGATGACCCTCTACATAATTAAAAATCCTCGGATGACTTTTGACTCCAAAACTTACCTACTAATAGTCTACTGTTGACCAGAAGCCTTGCCAATAACACAATCGATTAATACATATTTTGTATGTTATATGTAGTACATACTGTATTCTTTCAGTAAAGTAAGTTAGAGAACATAAAGTGTTATTAAGAAAATCATTAAGGAAGAGAAATACATTTACAGTATTTACTGAAACAAATCCACACATAAATGGACCTGTGCAGTTCAAACCTGCACTGTACTTTTAAAGCCTATCTTAAAATTTCCCCCAAAAAAGTAGACATTGTACACTCCCAGTTGTAATCACCTATAAAGTACTCTCCCAACCATAAAAAGAATCTAACCAGAATTTAATCAACACCATGGGAATGCAGTGACTGAAACCCAAACTGTGGAAAACCTATGGGAGAAACAATCCAGTTTATTCAACATATAAAATGCAAGCAGAAGAGCCTACAGATTAAAAGGGATTCAGAGATTTATCAAGCAAATGCAATATGTGGGCATTTTGGGGATCCCGATTTGAACAATTCAACTGTTTGAAAAAAATGAGAGATCTGGGGATATATGAATGCTATTTGTCATTACGAAGGAATTAATATTTTTACTACGATAATAGTGTTACTTTTTTTAATCCTTATATTTTAAAGATACACACTGAAGTATTTCGGATGAAATGATACCTAAGATTTGCTTCAAAGTAATCTTGTGTAAGCAGAAGGATCCAGTGTAGAGATAAGTAGGTAGAAGTATAGATGAAATAAGATTTGCCGTGTTTTTCGTGTTTTTTTTTCAGTTGGGGAATTGGGGGAGAGAAACGGTGTTGGGAATTAGAGAAGGGGACCAGCCAAGTTGTTCTTCAGTCTTCGTTGTGGAGGGTGCCAGTCGCCATCTGGCTTCCCGTCGGCAGCTCGTGGCCTCTAAGCTCAAGGTGCTGTGTTACATACAATCTTAGTTGCAGGTGGGCGTAGCCACCATCCCATGCGGGAGTTGAACCAGCAGCCTTGTTAAGAGTGCACGCTCTATCCACTGAGCCATCCAGGTGGCAGCTCAGCTCAAGGTGCCAAGTTCAGTCTTAGTTGCAGGCGAGCATAGCCCACCATCTAACAGGCAGTCTTGTTGTTAGGAGCACATGCTCTCACCAGCCGAGCTGAGCCATCCTGCCACCTGTTGGCAGCTCAGCAGCAGCTCAGGTCAGGCCCAGCGTCACTGGCCCATGTGGGAATCGATCTGGCAGCCCTGTTGCTCAGAGCTCGCGCTCTCAAGCTAACTCTTAAACAACTGAGCCACTCGGTTGGCCCAAGATTTTCCATGTTTTGATCATTATAGAACCAGATGACAGATTCACGGAAGTTCATGATACTATTCTCTCTACTTTTGTGTATGTATGAAAAACTTAAAAAATTTTTTATTGGGCCAGCAGAGTGGCACGTTGGTTAAGAGCTGGCTTAGGACGCCAGCTCTGGGCAGCAGGGCCCCGGTTCGGATCCCACATGAGGGCCAGTGACACTGCCCTCTACAACTAAGATGGTGAGCAGCAGCTCGACCTGGAGCTGGGCTGCCATGAGT